CCCCCGAAAATCACATCATTTCACACTGAAGAAGCTCCCTGGGGCAAGCAGGGCAGGCATAATAAATTACCCATGGAAAGGCTCCCTCCCAGTCAGCTCCGGCTGCTCCACAAGGGAGACCCCACTTCCCAAGCCCTCAGAATCAAATTGGCATTGGAAGTGTTTTCAGAGCTTAATAAAGAAACTACAGACAACGTCGACTAACATTTAAAATTCTTTCTGCCACAATTTCTCAAGCATACTTTGCTCCTGAAAGTGTATGTTCATTATTATTGAAAAACTAAATACACATATACATTCTAACTTTCTAATATCTCCTAGTGGCAACTATATTATCTAGAAGTTATGGTTCTATGTTGCTTTAATACATCTACCTCTCTAGTTCAAAGTTGTTGCCACTAAAATTGTATTTATTTTGACGTCTAAAAAAAATCTTTTTAAAATCCATAAAACCTTTAATATACAGTTTTAAGAGCAGTAAGCAGCTATGTACCACTGCTCCATCCCCTTTCTCCTGACCAAACTACAAGCTACCAAGACAATCTCATGTAACATAAATCTCTACAAGATATAACACAGAGGTTAAGACACATTCAGTTCCTAATAAAGAGTTCAGAGTACCTGTACTAGAGTAATAGCTGCTGACAACAGTCATCCCAGGACTAAACATACTGGGCCTCCACTCGGGCTGCCAGTGAAGTAATTTTCCAGTGCCCACTGAGGCAACTAAGCATATCGATTCCAACTACCTCATGTACCCAATGAGATTGAGGCAGTGAAGTCTAAATTGAAACCATTAGCTAGAAAGTATCACTGAAGTTGGATGCATGTACCCCAGACCAACTGTAACTGAAAAGCTGTGAAACAGTAATAAAAGAAAATTACTAAAGCCATTTGATTAGTTTTTTAAATTACCGTTATTATGCTCCAGAAATGCTGAAGCCTATTATCAGAATTAGGTAATTTATAAATAAATGTTACCAATATTCTTTAATAACTTTTTAGCAGCTTCTAAAACTTCTAAAACCCAACAGGGCCCAAGGCCACCTTCATTAACCATGTAAATAAAGCAATTCTACTACTTCTGACAATGAGTCTCTCTTAAGCTGACTGCTAATCTGAATTTCTGGCATACAATCTTGTCTTTCTGAGAGGATCTGGCCTCTGAGCTCAAGCAGTACAAAACAGACAGGAAAGCATCTTCTTCAGAAATACTCAGCCAGTCAGGAGTCTGCCCAGTGTTGAAAACCAAGACAACCACAGATCCTAACGCACTCTCGATCCCACTCCCGTAAAGTAAGGCAACAGAGATCTTTCATTCGTTTGGAATGAGTACAGCAACACAGCCTCAAGCTCAGGGTTCTGCGATGTGCACAGAAAAAATGCTGTGCACTTTTAATCTGCTAAATTTTACAATGTACTGTACCCAAGAAGAATCCAAATCACAATGTCCTAGAAGCAATTCCAAGAGACTACGGATGCTCCAACTACAAAAAGCCACCAAAGTCAAAAACAAAATCAAAAGACAGCAGTGAAACTGAAGAAAGCAAATGGCCTGCTGATAAAGACAATCTGACGACTCCAGGAACTACCAAACTTTTTAGTTATCACTTTGCCTCCGAATTTTTCTAATTGTGAAATGTGAGGGGTGGGGAGGATAACTAATATTTAACTTTCAACTCAGCATCAATTATTTGCCCAAGTATTAGGTCCCAAAAGACAAAGATTATCCACGATGGGCCACCTCGGATGTTATGGTTAAGTTCACATCCACCAACTCAGTTTTAGGAATGACATCTCTCCATTGCTCAAGTCTGTCTATTTCAGAACTGAAGAGTCATTCGAAGGCCTTAACCAAAGTATATTCCCTTCCCTGCTGGTCCAACCTAAGTCAACCAACTCTGCTGGTCCAACAACTCCCAGCAGATGCTGGAGTTTCCCAACTTCGAAATGCCAAACAGGGCTTAAATAAAAAGAAATACATGTGGCATTTTATAAGATTTAATTTCCACAATACTAAGTTTAGCGACCTATAAGGTCAAGTTACCATGTATCTCTCTGAAGGCATCTAAGTCTACAACAGAAGGGAAGAAAATCCTCATTTAAAATGCGAACATGAAAAACCTTATTCTTCCAGGCTTCTTCTATAAAAACATAATTATTTAGACTCCTCTTAGGCAAAACCCCAGGAGTTCTTCTCCTGTTAGAACTACAGACCTTGCTCTACATACTATCAGAATTCCAGAACTGTATCACAAGTAGTAACATGCCATCTCCCCACTGTCAGGAAACAAATACCAAAAACCCAACACCACCACTGTCAACTTCCCAACAAGGCCCAGGCCTAATTAACAGTCAGCTGCATTTATCATATGGCTTGAGTGCAAATGAACTAACAGCACCTACATCCCATCTGAAATAACATCAGGAAGGAGAGAAATGCGGTTAATTTCCATCCTGATTGCAGGCCACAACCCTCATGTAACTTTGGGAAAACAATTCCTGAATTATTGTCTGAGTAACTTAGATTAGAAGAAAGTAAATCAAAGCATATTCCTGAGTTGGAGATCATTTATAAGCTACCCTATGTTAGTACCTGTTTGGAAATGAAAGAGAAACTAAGGAAACTTGTCATTCTCAATTTCTAACAATTATTCTAAACTACTCATGAACAATTACAGCAAAACTCACCCCAAATGTTAAGGGAAGAGCCTAGGGTCACTGAAGTCTGATTTTCGGGCAAATAAAGCCACCACTTAACAGGTTTTTTCTGACCTATCTGCCCCTAAAACTCAGTATTTTAATTTTGTATTACAGAATATGAATGGCCTCACTGCATTTTCATAAAACAAAACATATCACTAATAAAACTCTGAACAAAAAAAGAGGCAGCTCGAAGGACACTAACTCAGTGTGGGAGCTCATGTGTGGGCTTTGTTGGTTGTGTTTCGTTTCATAAAAGGACGGCCTCGCTGGAAAGTCTGGCACACAGCAATCCTTTTCCAGCCGCTTCTTACAACTCCCAAGAGGCCAGAGTCAGATGTTGAGAGCAGCAAAGGTCTTCACCAAGGTGACCTGTGTGTTCGCCTCTGCTTCGCTTCTGTTGTTGTCCCTGTGGCTACCTCTGCTCTCCAGGGCTTTGTGGCGGTGCCTCTCCTCCTGCCGCTTCTTCTTCTCCAGCCATTGCTGTTCTCGCCTCTGTTTGTTTGTGACCTGAGAGAGAAGGCGGTGGTGGTGAGTAGGCAGCAGGGAGGCTCAAGCTGCTACCTGCTAGAAGGGAGATGGTGGCAAAGGGCACAGATTGCTTTTCAGCAGCAACAGGTTAAAACAATCTAAGATGCCAAAGATGATTTACTGTCCACTGCCGCTCAAATTTACATTTAAATTCATATTTCCTTGCTGAACTAGCAAACAAAATCAATTCCATTCTTCCCTTAAAGAAATCAGCCCTCATCCAGCAAGAGGTAACACACACACGTGTCAGAGGACACTTTTCCCCACATAATTTAATGCCCCAGGTAATTCTGACAAAATCCTCAGAAGCTTATTGCATCTTTGCCTCTGCTGTGGCTTTGTACACTGTGGCATTTTGAGCTCAGAACTTCTTGGTGAAAATCTTTAAAATGATTCCAAATTCAGTGAAATGGAAGATGTCACATACTACCTGTGGAAGTGAAGGGCAGGGAGGGAGATGTACCTTTCTGGAAAGCACTTGACAATTTACCAAAAGCCTTTAAAAGATTCATGTATTCATGACCTTTAATCTGTTCATTCCTCTTCTAGGATTTTATCCAAGATAATTATGCAAAACCCCAAAGATGTATACACAAAGGTGTTCATTGTAGATCATGGCATTTATAAAAAACATGGATAAACATGGGAAGAGCCCACACGTACAGTAATGTTAGGTGGGAAAAGGAGGCTTTTCATTTGTACACTGAGGACAATTTCAGAGTATATTTCCTTCCAATTGTCACTGCATACACCAAACAGGGTAAGTGAGGTCATTCTGCTTCTTGATGTATCTTTATGCATTCCCCAGATTTTCCACACTACTCTTATAAATTAGAAGGAAAATACAAATAAGATTATCTCAAGCTCCCACCACTGCCACAGAATTACACCTGCCCACCACCTACCCTTTCAACCCCATCTTACATACCTTTGCGAGCTGGTTTTTATTTGCTTTGTTTTCTTCACTTGGGCTGGCCCGTGCCTTATTGTTTTCGGTGCTGCCTTCATTTAAGCCCTGATTTCCAAAGATTCTGGCACCACTGCCACCCTCCTCCCATAAAGGGCCACACTGCTTCAGCACTCGACCAGTGGGCTCAAGATTCTCTTCTGCATCTTCCAAAGAAAGATATTTCATTAAAACTGAGAACCTGAGAGAGCTACACAGGTGATTACTGTATTAATGATTCCAAAATTACCTGGGTCCCTACTTTGGCCACAGGGGAAGTAAGTTTCCTTGAGACAAATTCTAATGTCAAGACAGTGGGAAACATAGGAAGAAAAAGTTGGTAAAAGTGGGAAGATAAATGTTAAAATAACCCACTGACCAGTCTTTTGATCAGCTTCCCAACAGCAGAGTGCTTTTTAGATAAATTATGTTTTAACATGAATTTTTACGGGAAAGTCTTCCATTTGCACCCAAAACCAAGAACACAAAACAGGCTCTAAAGCGGTGCTGTCCAATGTATTAGCCACTAGCTATATGTGGCCATTTACATTTAAATTAAAACTAAACATTTAAAATGTAGCTCCCCAGTCTCATTGCACAAGTGGCAGGTACACACTATACTGAACAGCACAGATCACTGGAGGGTGCTGTTTAAAGTCTCAAAGACCAAGTTACTTACAGATTTCTAAAAGTACAGCCAATACATAGTGGATAATAAAATACCTCATCACATGGAGAACTATGATGCCAGAAACAGTATCTGACATGTAACATCTGGCAATCAGTATTTATTGATACCATTTTAAATAAATGACTTGAGAAGGTAATAAGATGTTACATCTCTTTTCTTTTTTTTTTTTTTTTGAGACAGAGTCTCGCTCTGTTGCCCAGGCTGGAGTGCAGTGGTGTGACCTCAGCTCACTGCAACCGCCACCTCCCAGGTTCAAGCGATTCTCCTGCCTCAGTCTCCTGAGTAGCTGGGATTACAGGCACCCACCACCACACCCAGCTAATTTTTGTATTTTCAGTAGAGACGGGGTTTCACCATGTTTGTCAGGCTGGTCTCGAACTCCTGACCTCGTGATCCGCCCGCCTCGGCCTCCCGAAGTGCTGGGATTACAGGTGTGAGCCACCACACCAGGCCTTTACATCTCGTTTCTTTCCTCTGAGTCACAAAATTAAACTCGGTTCATGTTTAAAAAAAAAAAAAAATCAAAATTATCACAAGTTAATAGAAATCTAAATATTTCCACCAGGAAAACAATTCTGGTTATCATTTTGGTCTTCTAAGGGCATCTTATTTCTAAACAGGGTAATTCTTCCCTGATGCGTCCCCCAGCACCCTGTACTCCCACCCCATTATGTACTATCACACCAGTTTACCTGTCTCCACCATCCACCCTCCACGCCTGAACTACACTCCCCCTGAAGCAGGGCCAGGACCTAGTAAAAAATGTCTGCATACAGAACATGCTCAATAAACAACTCCTAAATGAATGACAGAACAGTTACCACCTGTGACTTGGTTAAAAATAAATATTTGGAAAATTACCAACACAACCATTTTGAAGGCCTATAAATATCAGTCATGGACTTACTATTTCTCTTCCCTTGGTTCATCTGAAGCATGGCAATTATTGCAGATTCAATATTATAATTTTCAGCTTCCAGATTCTGGACTATTAAATTAAAATCCTATCCAAGAAACAAACAAACAAAAAAATCACTTCAAAACTCTTCGGTATATTTTTCTGCCTAGCTCTACTTCAATAATCATAAACTTAAAAGATGTAATAGTGAGAATTAATAATCATAAACATAAAGATATAATAGTGAGAATTAAGACAAGGTTTCAGGACCTTTTCCATTTAGAAAATGTCAATTTTCAATAAGGTTGGTCCCTTGAAATAACCATCTAATGTACATTTATAAATGAACGCCCTGTATAAAACTGCATTTGTACTACTGTAAACACTAGTCAGGAAAAATTAAATCCACATACTCCCTGAGAACTTTGAGCAGTACTGGGTGAAGTCTAGCAAACAACAGGGAAATGAATAAACAGCTCTCATTAAGCCACATATGCTAATCGAACTATAAATCTCATGGGCCTATTTTGCTCCACAAGGTGCTGATATGCTGGAGAGGTCCTACGAAACTAAGATGTAAGCTAGGCACAGCAACACGTAAGCTAGGCACAGCAACGCTTGCTTCTAAATCATTCCTGCATGACAGAAATACTAACTGAACATCCAGTTGCATTACAAACTTTCTGGACAGCATCCTCTACTTCGTCTCTCAGGTCGTCTTCAGAGTCCATTCCCTTTGTCTTGATCTTTTCTCTTTTATTTGATTCATCTTGATGAAGCATCTGAAACTAAAGGAAACAAATAATAATCAGGGAACTGTGTTGAGAATCAAACTATGTTCACAATCTTCAACACAAGACACTCTAATCTCGAAAAGCACCCAGGGAAACTTGTCAATCCAAATCCTAAAGCCACAAAGAACAGTTCACTTGGGATCCATGAGACCTTTACACCCTGGGCCTTACATCAGAAAAGCTAAAATCATCCCTCTGTAGATGCTCAACCACCTTCTTCTGCTTCCCATTAATGCAGGGAGATAGGTAAATGGGCAAAGACAGCTCTATTTTTTGAATGTAAAAGTATAGTGGACTCCAGCAATGTGCAGTATATTCCTCGGAATGTTAATACAAAGCATTCTATTATAAAATTAAACGCTAAGAATTTGACAAAGAGTTACAGGAGTCTTTGACCCAGTAGTTTCAGTT